CCCCCCCCCCCCCCCCCCCCCCCCCCCCCCCCCACCTAGGGCACTGCCAGACGGGGAACGAAGCAAAAGGACGAAAAGAGCGACGATACCCTCGATGGCTCCCGGCTCCAGCCTCGAGACGTTGTTCTGCCACAACGACACCAACTCCAGGGACTTGCTCCGGAATTCCAGCAACCCGCCCGAGAGCGTCGGTCCCAAGTTGCACCCCGAACAATAGAATCTCTCCAGCTTCTCCAGGGACGCGATCACGGTCGATGGGAACTTCGACAGGGGATTGTAACCTGTACGAAACAAATAATGGGTTGGACGCTTCCTCTTTTTCATCAAATTTAAATAAATCATCAAATATTAGCCATCGAGTCTTGCCGATCATCTGCGATTCCGAATAGAGAAGCCCTATCGCTCGCTCGAGTCGATCGCAATCTAATATTGGGAATTTTTCCGACGATGGCAAAAATTGTGAATCGCCATCGTCGCATCAGGCGCGTTGGCGAACGATGATGGCCGTGGGATCCATTCGAATATGGGTCTGGCTTTCCTCGGATGCGATCGTTATCGATTGATTCTCTTTCGCGCTGACACTAGCCGTGGAAATGCATCGGGGATCCCTTCGATCGGGCTTCGATTATTCAGCCAGTAATTAATGGCTATTTTCCTGATGAGTCCGTTCTGGAAGATGAAGCGACACTCGGAAAAAGGGAATCGAGGAAAAAGGGAATGAGGGCGAACATCCTCTTGGCGTCGACTGCTTTGGACGGGCAAGCGGGCGGCAGGGTCTGCGCCCGAGTGCCTCCTCATTCCTCTCCGAGTCCATTTCATTCATTTCTCGTAATAAATAAAAAAAATCAGGAAATGATTAAATTGTTTTCCTTCGCCTCATAGACGGTAGTGCGAATCCTCGATTTGGGGGTTTCTGTGGGGATGTGTAATTCCTGTTTGTGAGGAACATTCTTAAGGAAAACAATGAAAGACTGATGAGGGATGAAAACAACTTGAAGACTTCATTTGCGCCTAATGCGTTTCCGTTATAATGGGTTTAGCGTCATCTCAACAAAGAAAGTGATTTTTATCGAAGACATATAGGGAGGAGATAGGTAGGTTTTTTTTTCTGGACTTGGACTAGGAATCGATCGGGGAGTGATTTGAATTCATTTAGAAATGAGGGATTTTTAAGACTCACGCAGGTCAAAGTCTCTCAAGTTGGGGGTGGCCCATCCGTCTTCTTCCACTCTCGTGATTCGATTGTGGTCGAGATCGAGGATCTCGAGGCTCTCGCTCTGGAGCGCCGGGACCGAAGTCAGCAGGTTGCTCTCGAGCCAGAGACTCCGGAGTCTCGGGAATTCCGGAAGGAGCCGGAAGGGAAATTCCTCCAGCCGGGCGAACTGGACGGTGAGATTCACGAGGCGGGAGCCGGAGAGGAGGAGGACGGAGGGGTGGACGCGCTTCAGGCGGGTGTCGTTCAGCCAGATGGACTGGAAGGAGAGGTGGGCGAGGATGCCGTCTGGGAGGTGCTTCACTCCGGGGGTGCCGTTCATGTAGAATTGCCTGAGAGGAGGAAGAAAATTGCGGGAAGTTTCTTACCTCTCTTCGTGCTATTCGCGATAAAGCTCTCCAAAGTTTGCCCCCTCCGCCATCTGTGTGCCTGTGAAATACCAGTGGGGTAGGGGGGAGGGGGGGGGGGGGGGGGGGGGAGGGTTTGCTCGAGAGGAAATATTATATTTTTCTTCCTTATCCCACAATAAAAATACATGTGCGCTCATGCGGGTTTTGTTTTCTTCCATATTTTCGGAGGGCGTGGCAGTCTCTGGCAATTCCTTTGTTCTCATGTATTCAAGAGTGAGCCTGCAACCCAAGAGTGGAAAGACACGTGTGCTCCTACAATTTTTGGCATAACCTACACGGGGAAAGGACTGGTCCTCCAACGAAACAAAGTGATCCTCGGATGATGAAGACTCGGAGGAGGAGGAAGTTCGTCACGATGCCATAATACACATTTCTATGACTGAGGTTGGGGGGGGGGGATATCAGCTGCTATCTAATCTGTTAATCTAATAATCTGCTATTGCGCTACGGTTCGGGCTCAAAATATAAATGGAAGGTGTAAAATCGACAATGAGATCGATGCCCGATATCGCCCGGAACCCCGAAACAACCCATTAATCCAACAGCATTCACCAGAACAACAGAAAGGAGGATCGGAGGTGCTCGCACTCACCAGAGTCGCGTGGAGGGCCAGTTGGCCCCCTTCAGCGCCCGCGCAATCTCCGCGCTCGTGCTGGCGCCCGTGCAGTCCACTCTCACCTCGCCGTCCCGGTAGTCCTCGACGTAATCGTCGACGCACGCGCACGGGGACAGGCTCTCCTCGGGGCAGCCAGGCTCCGCCTCCCCGGCCGCGAGGGCGAGCAGCGGGAGGAGCAGCAGCGCCAGGGACATCCTCCTCTTTCCGCGGGGATGGACTTCCTCCTGCCTCCCGCCTCTTTCGGTCTTCCCGCGTCGGTGCCGGTCCTGTTACGGACGGAACGAATGGCGGGGAACTTGTACTCATCAATTCCAGGAAATCGGGGGTTGCATTTCCTGTATTTTCAAATTCCTTCCGATTGCCGCGCATCGTCCGAAGAGAAGTGGCGCTTTCTTAAGGTGAGGAGCCTGGACGGCATCGATCCTCAGTTCTCATTTTTACTCGCATTCTTTAGACAAAATGAAGAGGGCTATCAAAATGATTGGAGTCTCCAGCAATATTGTGAATACACGGTTCCCACGGCGATGAGCCTGCGTAATTTGTAACTTGCTGATATATTATAATAGGTACTATTAGAATCTCCTACATAGCGAATTCCGCCATGTCGCGTTGGGAGACATGGGTGAAACGGTCGCCCATCAGAACGATATGGCTATAGGAGATAAATGCTCTCAGAATCAGAGAATCCCCTTCGATATATGCGATTTCGCAGGAACCGTCAGCCGGAGTTCCCTCGGAATCGCTGAAACACAACATTTATGGAACGGTCGATCGTAATGAAAGGGGCCGATCCACATTCCAGAAATAAGGCGCAAAATAAAAAATTCCACCAGTTCAAATAGGAATATGTCAGGCACACAGGAACCCAAGAAGCACGTAACATTGAAACAACATTGATTCAATGTTGATTCAATGTTATGTGCTACTAGGGAAGGAACTGACGAAAGAACTATGACCTGAAATGCGGAGAAATTTAATTCCGGTCTCTGTCCATTCGAAGTGGAATCGACCCGACTCAGAAAAAAACCCGCCAAAATGGCCACGATCGGCAGAACTCGTGCCAACACTAACCTCGATGACACCCTCACCGACGCGTTCCAAATCCAAGCCGACGCTGTATGCCCTATTTGCGCGCACCGAGAAAGGGAAACGAGACGGAACGCAATCTCTGGTGGATCCCAGCATGCACCGGGAAAGAGCCGGAACTCATTCCCCCGGCGAAATCGCTATTGTTGCAATCGCGTAGCAGGACTCCACGTTCCACTGTGGGCGACCATCAATTACGTTTCTTGCGTGCTTCCGACAGCTCTCTCGCAAGGGCGCATGGGCGTACGCTCATCCTTTCCAGGAGGGGTGGAGGGGAAGGGGGGAAGGGGGGGAGNTGTCACGTGGCAGCTGACGTTGATGCGTGCCAGGCCGATTCCGCGCCTTCGTGTCAAATCCGCGTCTTCTGTACGACCCGGAACCCGTTTAACCGGGGTAGGACTCTCGGGTATGATGGATCTCTTTATCGTAACTACACTGATATTATCTTCGAATCAAGACGGTTCTGGAGTTTTTCACTTACGCGAATCAAATTTAAAAAAAGTTAGTTCTGGCTCTCTGAGTACAGGCTAAGGAGCATCCATGATATTGACCCATACCGAACCGAATAATTCCCAGTTCCGAGCGACAAATTCCTTCTCGTCCCACCTTGCACGCGCCCCACCTCGCGCAAGGCGGCGACGAGATTTCTCGCGGGGAAATTGCGGCAGGGAAGGGGGGGGGTCGAATCGCTTCTTCACTCTGAGTTAGCTCGACATTTTTAGTGCCCTTCCGATTCGTGTCTTACATCGTTTCACTGTCACAGTCAAAACGAAAGGACAACATTATGGTTACATGGTGTCTTTGTCAGAAATTTGGCGCGATCGTTTTTCACTAATCGCGCAGGCCGACTCGCCCCGAATTTGTTTCGATGAGATCTGCTTTTCGGCTTCATACGGATTTTGCCGACCGCTAGATCAGTGGTGCCCAACACGTGGCCCTCGAGGTGCTCACAAGTGGCAAGGGAGGCCCTAATCCACAATAAACACCCGTAGGTTTCTTTGAAATGATATCCTAATATGGTAGCGACAGGCCCGTGATGGCTGTAATGGCTGAGCCATGCTGACCCAGGGCCTAAATGGCTGGCCACCGTTGCACTCGTTGGCCGTCGGTGTTTCCAACCCGGCGCAGCACCCTCGCGTCCCTTCCGAGTTTTTGCAAGTCATTCGAATGGGCATTCGCGTGTTTTGGAAGGAAGGTGCCGTAACGGCCAGTCTGTCGTCGGCAAATGCGCAAATTCGGTGCAATTTCGGCGCTGTGCCATTTCAGGTCTCAGGGCCGATACGGCGGTTTACCTCAACTCGAACAAGATCACCAGCTTGAGCGAAGGGATCTTCCGCCCGATGCTGGAAATCCTGACGCGAGGAGATGGCTTTCTCTCCGTCAAGTGTGAGTTTCGCGGTTTCGCACTTTTCTTTGCAATCTTCTTCGTCGCATTTTTTCCACGCTCGTCGGAACCGTGTTTCAGACAATCCGATCCGGTGCGACTGCGAGCTGAAATGGTTGGCCGACCGTCCGGAATTACTGAGAGAAGTGAGAGGGACGTGCGAGAATGGGACGAATCTGAGAGATCTGCGGCCGGGTTCCTTCGAACGTTGCCGGCGTTGTCCTCACGAGTGCGTCAGCGCCCGACAGGAATCTCTCTGCAAGCCGGGAACAGTGGATGCAGGGAACTGTCACTTTGGGAAAACGTGTTGTCGGTTGGAAAATCCAGAAACGGCGACTGTGGCATCGATGAGTCCAAGTCTGTTCCACAATAACACGCACAGGGACGTGACCTCGGCGCAGATGAATGCAGGAAATCGTCCGTGCCCTGACGGTTTGCAGTGCATCGGAAAGAAATTCCAGGCTCATTGCCGTCGAGGCAGTGTGAAATCGAACTCGACGTGTCCGTCGGTGAACCAAATCTGCTGCCGTGTCGCCATGTCGCAGCCATGCCCTCTCACGCATGCGTGTCTTCATTCTTCGGCTCGTGACGCGTGCGAACCGGGAACCGTGATCTCGGCAGCGTCGTGCCGTGAAAATGGAATCTGTTGCATCAGCACCCCTCAGAATCCTTCTCGCTCGTCGCCTCGCCAGCACCAAGTTGCGTCAGCGCCCGAAGACAAATCGGGCTGCAGCAAGAAGAAAATCCGTTCTCGAGGTGGGATCGACGGGCTGGGAGAAGAAACGGCCTCGTCGAACGATACCGTCTTCGATCCCGAGGATATCCCGAATTGCGAACCTTGCATGGGCCGGTGCACGGTGGCCGATCGAATCCACGAATGTCGAGCCGACGGTCAGGGAGATTTCTCCATGTTCTTCCGATGCCCGGGAGAACTCGTTTGTTGTGCCTTTAGGACTCCCATCGGTGAGAGGAGGCTGGATGTCCTTCCGGCAGATGTCGCTCATTCTCGGAATGCCTCCCCAGACTCCATCGTTTTCGGTGACTCGAGATGTCGAATGGTGGAAGCTCTGTGCGTACTAACGTATGTTTTGTTCATTTGGTGGAATTTGTGATTTTCCTATATGGGCCTTGGCGTTTCACGAAATCCCACAAGGTACCCAAACCAACACAGCTGGAAAATGCTTCAGATTTCTGACATTTCGCAAAAAAAAACAATCATCATTGGAGGTTTCCTAAAATGAGGGAAAATCGTGGCAGGTCTTCATGCAGGCATGAAGTCTTTCCAAGATTTCTCATGATGTTATGATGAAAATAATCATGTGCGAGGAAGATCTTCCTGTCAGTACAATATTTTCAGCAATAATTCACCTTTTTTTTTTAAGTCGAATGTAGGTTCGTCCACTTTCGGAATATCATTGATATTTGTTTGCTTGAGGAAGGTCTATGTGTTCTGGCTAATAAAATAATATATCCATTTACACTGGATCGGCGATTGACAATCTGAAAGGAAGAGACTTATTTCATCTTCAATTAAGCTTTTTATTTGGGTGTTCCCCAGCTGAAAAAGGAAAAATGTTGCAACGAGGAAGAGAGAGGGGGAGGGATATTGCCATTATCATGCAAATGCATTGGACGCGAATGTCATGTCGTTTTCACGTATTGCATGCAGCGATGCCCATCAGTTTCCAAAATCCATGAGGAGAGCTTGAAATCAACCGAGGATTCGATGGAAAAAAATATATCCTAGAGTTTGAAAGGCTAGAAATGCGAGAGAAATCGACGTGACGCATTCGCTTCTTGACTGGAAGATATTTCTATGGCCCCAACAAGAACGAGCAATCAAGGCAACAAAAAAAAACTTCTAATTTCAAGTTTCATAGTTATGGCCGTAAAAAATTCAAAACAAAATAACTTCCCTTGAATCGCAACCAGCATTTGTACCTTCACACAACGGTGATGTCAGAAGTAGATGATAACTGCCGATAAATCGTCTTAGAAAGGCAAAGTGAAGCTGATCTTTGTCCGAAAGCGTCACTGGAGACGCGAAGGGCCATTCGTCGAGCCAACGACGCGACGAGCGCGACCTTCAACCTTATCGGCTCCTCCCATCGATGCGAGAGCTCTAACTGCAGCACAGGGGAAAGGGGGCTTTGAGGGCAGAATATTTCTAGATAGTGCCTCCATCGCCTTTGGAAATGCAAAAACTTCCAGGCGTGTTGCTTAGACGTCGAGGTTCCGTCGAATTTACTCAGCATGTGTCGAGGAAATTAGGCTAGAAGGGGTCTATGATTGACCTATTTCAGAAATCCATTCATTAGAGAGCAAGGCCCTTTTTATAACATCCCAAATATCAATGGACCAATTAAGGTAAAAGCATCTCTTTCCTGTAAATCCAAACCAATTCGAACGTCTACGTGAGACAGAGAAGAGAAGCGATTGCATTTGGAATTAATGTATTCAATGTAAATCGTTCGCTCTAATCGGAGATTATCTAATACTAGCGAGTTTGTTTGCCCTTCAGGCAAACAAACTCGCTACGGTCGCGCCTTCGGCGCATTATTACCTTGCATAGTGATTAATTCATTCATTTTTTGCGAAATGGAAAACACGTATTTAAAGTACGTCACCATTGAAATGTGTGACAAATAGGGACGAAAGTCTGGATTTTCATCAAATTCATTACCTCTCTGATCCTATGCGTGCCTAACTTGAAATCTCTTCTGACCTTTTTATAAGTGTGGAGAATACATTTTGAAATACTTCCCTCCAATAACCTACGCGAAAGAGACATTTCAAAATTGGAATTTTTCTCTACTCAGCCTTCAAACAGGTACTTCTGAGGGAAGTTTCCATTTTCTGTCCTTGTTTCGTTGGATCAAAAAAAAAAAGATAAAAATGGAACTGAAAAAAGAGCCCCAATGGGTTTTAAAGAATTTTTTTTCCTTTTGAAATGTAGACTCAGGGAAATCCAATCTACCCAATTTCAGCCTTATACGTATCTCCCTTTTGCTGGCGAAAAAATGCAATTGGAAAAACGACCCACCCAAAAGTTGTGCTCTAAGGAGATATATGAAAAAGTTTATTTTTTTCGTAAATCAACATCACGTCAGTGATTCGTGCGCCAGCTACTTTTCCATGTCTGCCCGGTGAACTACATGCAGACAAAGTTTCAATATGATATGGTTGCCCTTTTCGCTGGTGAGAAGGCATGCTTGGAAAAGCCGACCCTCCCGAAAGGAGGTGAGGTGATGCCCATGAAAGCAGCATACTCCCCAAGCTGAGTAATGTCATGTCAGTTATACGTGTGCCAAGTTCCACCTTTCCATTTTTGTCCAATTCGCCACGACAATTTTTTTTTCCAAAACGCTCCTTCAAAATTTCCAAATCGCCCCTCGAAAAAATTCCCCCAGGGGATGTATCGAGACTTAGCATTTTTATTTAACTCTTTCTCTCTGTTGTCACATTCATGCAAAGTTTCACCTTTCCATGTTCATCAGTTTAACTGATGCAAACTAATTAGTTGAAAACATCTCCCTTTGAAAGTTGTGCCCCAATGCTTTTACTTCTAAATTCTGAAGTTTTCTGCAGCATCTCAATAAGTAGTTTTGTACACTGTTTCATCTTTCCACACAAGCTCAATATGCCAGGACAAAAAAAAATACTTGAAAACGTCGGCTCACAAAAATATGCTCGGAGAGCATGAATCAGACATTTTTCATTTTTCCTGAACTCATCGTCTTGGTAGGCACGTCCATGCCAAGTTTCAGCTTTCCATGTCTCTCCGTTTTACTCAAGAAAAAATAATGTTATAGTGGGGGAATGAGTAACGGGACTTGGAAGACAAAAAAAAGCCAAAAGAAAGCCAGGGAATGGCCGGGAGATGTATCCGGACCTTCTGATTGCCAATAAGAGATGCTACTACTACACCACCGAATCCAGGACATCCAGTCGTCCCTCTGAATGCCATCCTAATCTGTCACAATATACATTTAAGAAAAAAGTTTTCCCACAAAATTTGTAACCCCAGGGCATGTATCTCCAAAGTCCAATTTTTTCTGAACTCTGCATCCCAAAAGGTACATGTGGACCAAGTTTCAGATTTCTAACCCATCTAGAACATGGTTGGAATGAGCGTCAGTCAGTCAGTCAGTCACGTTCGTCTATATATATTAGATGATTAGATAGACGTATAAGTGACATGATATCACTGAGCTGAGGGAGTATTCAGCATTCATGGTGCATCCCCTCCGGGCACAGCTTTTGGGTGGGTAGGTTCGGTATTTAAATTAATGGTACTTTTCGGTCAAAACGGCTCAGGGCACACCATTTGGAAAAGGGATATTTCCAAGAATTTTCTGATCCAGCAGAACAGAGGGCGCAAGAAAATGGTAAAACTTGGAAAATAAGTACCTGATGGATAGCTGCGTGAAGAAGAAATTCCACTTTCCTAACATATACTGTACAGGGTGATTCAAAAGTCACTATACATTTTATGCGCAAATAAGTTTTATTGTACAATATGCTATACTACTGAAACATACGTTACATTAGGATACTAATTCAGTACATTTCAATGTGGCCACCTTGCACATCTAGGCACAGCCCCCAACGTTGCTCCGTTTCCCAGAACACTGATTCCAACATAGCTGGTGTAATCTCAGCTGCTGCGGCTGTGATACGCTGTTTCAGTTGTTCAATGCTGTTGATCTTTACTTGATACACCTTACTCTTGATAAACCCCCAGGCAAAAAAATCTAAGGGAGTCAGGTCTGGTGNAACTCCAGTTTCACCCCCCTTTCACTCTGGGAAAGGAACGAATTTACTCCATCACCAAGGAGTAAAATTGCTCTCCTCCTGCTCAACATCCTGATTCAACATCCTGCTGAATCAGGATGTTGAATACTTAGATACAGGAAAAGCAAAAATTGTACTGACCCTTAGTTGTTGAAATAAGTTGCATTTAAAAACAGCCAGCGGTGAAAGTGACCGCTCTGGGACTTCTGCTGTTAATGGGTTTCATCTAAAATTGCATTCGAAGCATCTAAAATGACTTTCAATGTTGCATGGCTGATGCTTTCCGTAGTTTCATTTGAAAATGCATTGGGCTAAGATGAAAGGTGGGCTCCATATGAATTATCTAAACTTCTGTCGCATGGCATTTATAACTTCTAATTCTCGAAAGTGTGCCAGTTCACCTGCTCCGGAGCTTCAAGGATACGCCGAGAGAGTCTTCGTGCGAGCAGGTGGCCATATGCTTTGTATGTACCTGTCTTTGAGCCCAATTGCAAATTTTGACGTCGTTGAACATGGAATTATCCAAATACAGCTACTTTTCATTATGAAATTGCTACTTACCGCCGTAGAGACAGCTGGAGTCCTGGTGTCTTGGAAAGGGCCCTGAGTCATGGGAAAGTATGACTTTGTAGAGCTGCACTTGAGGCATGGCGATAACACTACTTCAATGCGACTGAAATTACTCTTTAGAAAAAGAGACAACATGAACATGTGGTAGGAGTAAATCCATCTAGTCAGTGGGAGTAATGAAAATGCTTGGTTTTGGTGGCGTCTCACAGAGAGATCCCCAAAATTAAGCGTGTAACTGAGCATTCTCACAAAGCACAGAGCTACATTTCGGTGTGTTCCCTAGCACCTCACATAATTCAATCTTCAGGCAGAAAAAGTTTTAACTTTTCAGGGGATATAAAACAGTAGCATCATGAGGCAGGTGTTATGAAAGAGGAAGCACGAGACGAGATGCGTGCATTCCACAACCAACCTCATGATCTTTCTAAGGTGCGCGTATGCCTACCCTGTGCAGCAAGTTGAATCTTTATGATAATAAAATACGTCATATCCCATCTCCAAAGGCATTGGGTATGACGGAATACATTGCTATGGCCTTTTGTAGGGTTCGATCGTGTAAGATCGGTTCGACGTTCTCTAACTTCCAGGATCTCGGCAGTTCACTAAAGATAGTTTTTTAATAAATATAATTGGAACATATACATGATTTCCTTAACGCCCCAATCTTGAATCCAATCGTGCCATTACCTCCTCCTCCCACCATCATGAGCGATCGCTTGGCAGCTGCTAGCTAGCTAGGCTATGCGAT